ATGAGTCTCATGTTTTGCTGCACCATTTGGTTGGTAAGGTCAGAATTTGGCATAAACAACATGAAAGCATGGCTCCATCATGCCTTGGAACAACAACTTAAGCTGATAATGGTTGTGTAACTGTGTGGGGGATATTTTCTTGGCTCACTTTGGGTACCTTAGTAACAACTGAGCATCGTTTCGTATCGTCTCTGACCATGTCCATCCATTTACAACCACAGTGTACCATCTTCTGATGGGACAAAACCTCTGAGGAATATTTTCAGCCTTTTGTTGAATCTCTGCCACGAAGAACTAAAGCAGCTCTGAAGGCAGCGTGGGGTTCAACCCGAAACTAACATGTTAGACCTAATAAAGTGGCAAGTGAGTATACATTCACTTTGTGGGGTTTTCCATTAAAAAAAACATCAACTTTGAAATGAATTTTTCAAAGTAACAAAAACAAACATAAAACTGATGTCATGTTTTATGGCCTTTAAATAAAGAATACCAGCAAATTCTAAGCTTCATATATTTCTTTTCCCCATCAACACTGTGTTCAGGTAGTTCAGCTCTGTGAGTGATCTCAGGACAATATGAGCAAAGGAAACTATAGACTAGAATCGATTTATAGAACAGAATACTGATAGGAGATTCATCTTGAATATCAAAAATGCGTCATTGTTAGCTGGTTGATTATTCCTCAGTTGGAGGACTTCGTCTCCCTCTTTCATAGAGAGGAGGCCTTGATGCATTGTCAGTCTAAGAAACTGATTCATTTTTAAATGAATCATTTAAACCACATCTAAAGCCTGGTTTCCCTTCATCGTTCACTGGCCTGAGACAGACAGAGGTGGAGAGCCTTCATGGCCGAGCTACATGCCAGCCGGTATCCTGGACATTAACTCGCTCACTTTTTAAACTGACTGTGAATGCCCTTCAGAGCCAGACACCGGCTTAAATGCCACTACATGCAGCTTTCTCTGATTGTGAATGTATGCAGGCTTTATTTCCATTTCCATTATTCCCCTTAAATCTGTTATAAAACAAACAAACAAACAAATCCTTGCAAAAATGCTCACACATGTGTAGTTTTTCACACATAGGGATCTGAGGTGCTGCGGTTATCATTGCGGTTGTTGCTTTGAAATGAAATAAATGTGGAAAGAAAAGTATTGATTAGCCTTTGGGAATACGTAAAAAGCCAGATGGACTCTGTGAAACCCTTGATCTGAGGTGGTTTTATATAAACACATAGCATAAACCTTTGAACTGTTTAGTTGATGGGTTTGATGACCTAAGTTTGTAAAGTAACACCATTTTCATTGTGAAATGTTACACCATTTAAACAGCATATACTTTTAGCACTGCCAGCAGCTTTCTTATGGCAACTTTTGAGTCGACAATCCCACAAACACACTTTGCATTTTGACTTCCATAAAATTTGCAATCAAAGTTTTCCTCCTCCAAAACAAGCCGGACCATCCGTGTTTTTTCTTCCTCTGTGATCCATCTTTCCCACCTGGCAGCGAGGTGCCATCGACAAAGTGACATCCTCTGCATTCATGAGCACATCATCATCTGCTCTCCTCACCAGGAATTAGCCCTTCATCACTCAAATCTCACAGAAGCTTTAGAAGTGCTTAACTTTTATCTGCATGGGGCACTGAGACATGGCTGGGGCCACTTGAATCGGGTTAATAGGACAATATTACAACATTTTTCTTAAACTAATGGATGCAAATGGTAAATTCCCACTGGCAATTAATAAGTAACTTCAGCCTATTTCCCATCGAATTGCCTCAGCATTCATTTCATGACTATATCTGTGCAAAGTCATCCTTCACTGCCAGCTCCTAGTGACTCTCCTCTTTCTATCAGTGGCTGTATGGATTTTTTCCAAATGATAAATTGGACACAGGGAGCCGCTGAGGTGTGACCAGGTGTCAAAGGGGTATAGCTTTTTTGTCTTAAATGGTCCTAATTATGCTGAGGACCTTTAGAGCTGTTCCAATAGGCGCTGATAAAATGTTGTGGGATGTAACGCTACAATAATCAATGAAAGTAATGCAAAGCCCTCTGCATTAAATGTTTGTATTTTTTAAAGTAAAGTTGCTCCCTTATTTCAAAATCGACTGCATAAAATAAAATAGTCACGTTTCAGTGCTTCAGAGTTGCATCAGTGTTTGTCTGTCGTTCACCTTCTCTCTTTTGACTGAAGAAACGCACCGATTGTATCCCATCCATCACTTCCATCCATCCCTCCTCCCACTCTTCAAACCCAGAAACGAGTAACGGTTAATTTCTTGTCCACTCTCTCCTTTGGCACCGTGGAAGGCAGAAACTTTGCACCGCATAACGCAGATTGGCATCTTCCTCCAAGCGATTCCAAACGACTGATGCTCTTTCACGCGTTGAGAAAGTGGAGATGAACCAGTTCGCCGCTTAAAGAGAGGCATTAAAAAAAGTTGTGGATGGTTACTTTCGCGCACAAATATTTAAAGGACTATTTTGTCTCCATAAGTTGCAGGGCTGTGCAGGAGCAGGTCAAATTCTTCCCTCAGCAAACCTATCCTCCGCAGGCAGGCTGGAAGACCATCCACCCGGGAGATCACAGCGAATCCGAAGAGCGCAGATGATCGCATCTGGTGTTTGTGGCGTCGCGCTGGTGCTGGGGTTGGTGGTTCTGATTCCGGTGGTGGTGAACTCCGCCGGAACTCCTGCCCGCTATGAGATGCTCGGATCCTGTCAAATGGTGTGCGACTCCCACGGGACCGCAGCTACGGCTACAGCCAAGGCAACCAACCCGATCAAAGACAACCGCCTGGTTCAGTCGCTTCCCACGTTCATTCAGGGTCCTCAAGGAGAGCCGGGACGCGTCGGGAGGATGGGTCCCAGGGGTCCGATGGGCGAACCCGGGCCACCTGGACCTGCCGGTCCGCCCGGGGAGAGGGGGCCACCCGGCCCTCCGGGTCTACCGGGGGCACCGGGAGCGAACGGGCCAAACGGTGCCATCAGTGCAGCCACTTACAACACCGTCCCCAAGATAGCCTTTTACGCAGGACTGAAGAAGCAGCACGAGGGATATGAAATACTGAAATTTGACGATGTTGTTACAAACCTTGGAAACCACTATGATCCCTCTAGCGGGAAATTCACCTGTTCGATACCGGGGATTTACTTCTTTGTTTACCATGTGCTGATGAGAGGCGGCGATGGAACAAGCATGTGGGCTGACCTCTGTAAAAACAACCAGGTAGGACAACTCACGATTGCTTTATAAAAAAAAAAAAAAGATAAAAAACCTTGATTATTTTGATATTAGTTTGCTTGCAAAAAATGTAGACTTTTTGAGATTTTTACGCACAAGTCGCAGAGCGACACTTCCTGGGTATTGTGAAACAAACAAAGTTACGTGGGGGATTTTTAAAGCTTCAAATCAAGATAAGACGTGGAGCTGTCCGCGGTTCTGATTTCGAAACGAAGCCGTTTCACAAACTGTCACATTTGCCTTTCAGGTGAGAGCCAGCGCCATCGCCCAAGATGCCGACCAGAACTACGACTACGCCAGCAACAGTGTGGTTCTTCACCTGGAGCCCGGGGACGAGATTTATATTAAGCTGGACGGCGGAAAGGCGCACGGGGGCAACAATAACAAGTACAGCACCTTCTCCGGCTTCATGTTGTACGCTGATTGAAACACGGACAGATCTGCTGAAGAGACGAGAAAGAGAGAGAGAGACTGGGAGGATAAAAGAGCTTCTCTGCATATAGCTTGCTTCACCGCTCGTGCTCAGTTCAATGTCAGCTGGATTATTAGAGGCAGAGCTCACCGTTTCTATAACTCAAACAGAATCAGCAGTGATGTGGAGGAGGTCATGCAAAAACAGAAAACTGTGCTGGGCAATAGCGACGAGCTGACAGTGTAATTACAAAACCAAAATAACAGTTTTAATTTGTACAGCACCCACTTGTACCCTTGTCACATTGATTAGTGTTGCTCGTGCTCCCTGAATGAAATGTCGTGCTTCATGAATTAAGTTTGCAGACGGTAGCTCGTGTGGTTACACATGTCCCTGTAGATGGAAAGTTTATAATGTGATGACTCACCTATAGGTGCAAATATGATATTATATATATATATATATATTCACATGACCGCTTACAGTGCTGTTAAACCATTTGTGTGCTTTATTTAAAGGCAAAAAAAGAGTCACAGTGGGTGAAATTTGGATGAAAATGTTGAAAAGCTGTAGTTATGCATGTTTAATCAAAATGACGTTTTAACACTGTGCAACATTAGGAGACTTGACAAGAAAAAACTGTAAAGGGCCATTCGTACTGATGCACGAATTCATCAGTGTAACTCGTTTTTCTTGCGTGTGTCAACATGGCATCTGGTTGAGACAACATGGTGGTCTGGTGGTTAGTCACAAAACTGGACAGCCACCGCTGACAGAAATGTTATATAACGCTCATCAATCTGCTTGCTGATTATTAAACTCCTCCAGAGTCGACTGTCAATTCAGATGTAAAATGTAGTGCGGTATTAAATCCTCACGCTCACTTTGTAATCCTCCTCAGAAGATTAATCAAAGTTAGATGGTTGTTCACGCCGCACAGTCAGCTGTGGCGATCGCGCCATTGATCATGTGGCGAAGTCACCCTGCGAGGCCACCTGTTCCCAGATGAGAGGAGAACATGTCCTTCATCCGGGCCTGCCAGCCAGTCAGCCTCCCATAGACACGCAGACACCCACCGAGGGGCAACAGGACAACTCATCTAACACAGCCACATTGTGTCAAGAGCAGAGCAGCATACTGATTAGTAATGCGCTCATTATTTCCCTTCCATATAACGTGTTTGCATAAGTGTCGCCTACGAATACAAAGAGAGCAGCTATGACATTGAAATTACAAATAACAATAAAAAAAATTGAAAAAAATCAATTAGCACCGTGTTTGTGAGCACCTGGAAATATTTATCTTGGATTGCAATCACACTTCTACTGACGAGCAAAAGATTTTCTCGTGCCATAACAGGCACCGTGACCCTGCAAGGCCTCCTTTATTAATTTGCTTACAAAGTGAATCATGTATAATCACAAATATTTAAACAAAGAGAACATGTTTTGCACTAAAAGAGCCTCTATAAAAATCCAAAAGCCTGTAATTATTTTCCTTTGAAATATAATGGACGTTTTGTTTTGCTGAAAACGGTGAAATTAAAGAAAAATTTACATACAACGGTGGCAAGCCCGTTGCTATATGAGCCCAAGAACACATTAATGCATGACTCCGGATCGTGATCAGTATTCATTACGAGTCGTCATCAGAAGACGAATAATAGCCGGGTGAATTCGCCCTCCTCGCGCCTCTATTTTTTTAATTATTTGAAGGTCAACCAGCATTTAGGATTGTCGATAAGGATCTTGTCCACCTGGTGCTGCGATATGCCCCTCGTCAGCATCTTTGGCACGATGTTCTTCAGGATGTGAGAGTAGCCGTGGCCGCCGTACTTGGTCAGGCGGTTCTTGGTGTGGATGTCATGAGCGATCACGATCTTGTCCTCATAGCCCTCCTTCACCAGAAACGCCAGGCTGAACACGAGAAAACAGTGGGGTGAAAAATGAGGGGCCTCGGTCTTTTAGCCTTCATTCATATATAGGAACAACATATATACATGAGCATAACTTATTCAGCTCTCTTAACGTTATGGGAAATTTGTGTTACTTTAAAAAACAACTACACGATGAGCTCTTCTTTATAGTGAAAGTAAAAGATTTAAGGTGGAGTTAAGCTCCAAACACAAGGATTTCTATTACTGGACTGGACACGGATTCCTGGAGGTTTCAAAATAGTGAACAACACGCACACACAGAAGAAATCCTTACTCACGCTTTGACTCTCTGGCTATCGCTGGGCATGTCCACGTCCAGGTTGTACGGATAGTTCAGCATCTCAGTTCCAAACAGATCATACTCCAGGTAACTCCCCAACTTAGCAAACTCCAGCAGCTCACCTTCATCCAATAGCGTCCTTTTAAAAAGGCCAAAATAAAGCTGATAGTTATGATGCTTTGTTTGGAAAAACGAAGCTGTTGCAAAGATGCTTTCCAGATAATGATGCATGGCGGATCAGAAAAAAGATGGCGCTTTTTGAAATTTGAATTATCAACCCATGAAACCTGTTACCACTGATATTCATTCCTATTCTTCTGTAATTTGGCATACCTCAATCACTTTCTCCTCATTTCCCTTCCCTAATGAAAAGGCTTCTTGACATGCTCCCCTCCACTGAAACCATTTCTGATGAGGCCTCAGATGCATCTCTGAGGTCCTGTGTCAGACTTTTGTTCGATTTTTTTCTTATGTCTGAAGTTCATGACTTTCACATATTGTTCATCTGCTGTACATAGCACTTCTTCAGTTTCCTCAAGATTTTTTAAGATTCACTGCACATCATGCTGAGATCTTCAAAAAGCTATCAGTTTTAGGCTAAGAGCAACCTTGTTTGTGTAAAAATAATACATTGTGCCTATCAAACAGTTTTATTTTTGACATTTTCATAGGTTCAACTAAAAAAGTTGGAACAAATTATGTGTTTTTGGCGGCTCGCAACAAATCCTAAAGATACAATTTAAAACTGGATCTTTGCTAAGTTGCATGTTATACACATACAACACTGATTCATCCCTTAATTTAGATGGGCCCGTGTTAAGTAGTTAAAAAAGCATTCCTCTAAATATGGTCAGGTATACATATAAAAAGGTATAAAATTACTGAAATAGCAGCCAAAGAAAAAGAAATGAGGGGTGTCTCAGGACTTTTTGGCCAGCTGTAACTCAAGTCTGAGAACCAGAAAGCCTTCAGCAGCTAAAAATGAGGAAATATGGAGCAAACAGCATCATTTCAAGCAGTCACTGGCAACACAGTCTCACGAGCCTGACCAAGGACACCAAGGTCCAGGCTTTTTCCCCTTCCATCTGCTAAATCACTAAAATGTATTAAGATACTGAAATAAAAAATGTTTCAAATTAAATGTCAGAGAGGGCACGTGTCACAGGAAATTGTGTGTTTGACAGGAAAACGGCGTCCTAATTTTCGCTGTATCTTAATGACTTTATTTTAGTGACATCTCACCTGTCTAGGTGAGACATAACAGTTTTGCTGATGTCACCCCCGGCCTCCTGGAGTATCCGAACGATCTCAGCTGGAGCGGCGTGATCCCTGCCAGGATGGATGATAACAGGACAGCCCAGCTGAGCCTGAGCGTGCGCCGAGGCTCGCAGCACCTTAGTCTCGCTCTCCGTGATGGGCCAGCTGGTGCCGATCTCACCGATCACACCGCAACGGATGTCTGTGCCGTCAGCGCCGTGAAGGACCTCACTGATGATGATGTCTGTAAGCTGAAGGTCAGGAAATGAGGAGCTGGCGTGTGTTCATTTATTGAGAATACGTTTTCTAATTTCCCTCTTTCCCTTTACTAAGGATTGAAGGAGATGATGAAAGCATAGTTATAGTGTGTCTAAATATCGCTGAGTACGGTATTCTCAGGGTCATTCTCAGGTGTAGCTACCAAAAGACTAGACAACGTTGTCAGAAATCCATTCAAATCAATCAAAAGGCGTGAAAAAAAAAATCCTCACATGCTTAAAACTTTCTAACAAAGGTGTGTGAGCTCCAAACCCCACCACAAACTGGGACGCACCTTCTCCACACTCATTCCTTTGGTGGCCTCAGAGTGGGTGCAGTCCACGTAGTAGCCTGCACCTGCAATGATGTGGACCCCGGTGTCCTTGGCCAGCTGTCGGAGGGTGGGAAGGTCCCGTTCGATTCCAGTGGTGGTGTTCTCCACTATCGTTCCCCCGCCGGCTCTCCTGTAGGCCAGCAGCTCGTCCCGCACAGCAGCGGTCTCCTGCTTCAGGAGCAGGTTCTCGGGGGAGCTGTACGGGTTTTGCCTGAGCCAGAACATGTGCTGCATCTGAAACGGGTTCTCTGCCACTGCCTCATCACCTGGGGGAGGGGGCGAGAAGCAGCACTCGAAGCTCATGGTCAGGTGCTCGTGGGTCATAGTACGGCCAAGCTGGTCTGGATCTACTAAACCCAGCACGGTCTGGACCCTCCCGCTCAACTCAGACATGATGCTATGAGGAGTGTTCAAGATTTCCCACAACCTGAAAAGACATACAGTATCATTTTTTATTTATTTTTTACATCTATTTTTTTTTTTTACATCTCTCAGACAGATATTTCAGTTTTTATAGAAAGATCATTGAGATAATTGAGGAATTTGGTCATCCCATGACTGTAAAGCAGAGCTGCTCCTTCTTAAAAATGACATTAGCTACAATTTCATGTCTGCATCCACGAGGCTTATTTTCAACATAAAATAGCAACTCATTTAAAAGAATCTCAAACTAGTTTTTACCTCGATATGACGACGCTGTACATGCCTTGCAGATGTAGCCATGATTTACACAGGGGGAAACAATTATCTGATCCCCAGCTGAATTTGAAAGTTTGCTCACTTCCAAAGAAATGAGAGTTTCCCCTCAATGACCTCAATGTGCTTGGTGGTATGTTTTGGGTCATTTTTATGCTGGACGACCCATCTTCAGTGTTCTTGCTGGGAAAAGGAGGTTTTAGTCCAAGATATTATGGTGCATGGCCCCGTCCACTGACGTCCAAATTAATTTATAATTTATAATGCGATGTGATCTTTTTCTAGATCTTTGGTTGACATTCTGTCTCGCTCTATTAAAATGAAGCTTCCATTAAAATTAGAGACTGCTCATTTCTTTGTAAGTAAACAAACTTATACATTTCTGAGGGTCACTGACGTTGCTCAGCTTGTGAACACAAACAGCAGGCATCTTTCATTCCCGCCTTTGGCTGCAGCAGGTCTGCTTCTTTCAGCTTCTGTTATCGACTCAATTCCTCATATTTATTTAGGATTACTCATAGACTGTATATAAGAGGATTACCCACGACCCTTTACATGATTTAAACCAGCACTGAGTAACAAATGGGCCCCTGTAGACCTATCAATGTTTGCCACTGTCATCTGTTAGCAACTCCACCCGCTGATGTGCACGCGCGGAAGACCTGAGCTGACCCTGAGAGCTGTTGTAGGCTTGACAGTCGCCGTCACGTGACCGCTGAGCCTGGTTACCGATCAGTGAAGCCAAATAACAACATCCATCCTTTGTTTTATAGTCCCCGTGTAAAGTTTCGGCCGTGCCGTGCAGCACTGTTACACATCAGACACATGTGTGAGTGCGTGTGTGTTGGCAAAAAGACAACGCATTCGCTCACTCTGCTGACTTTACAGTGCATACCAGAGCGGGACCTTTGGACTGCCAAGTACAAGCCCCGAGCCACACTTTGAAAAGTTGCATTTACTTACTCAAATCTTTGCTGTATGCTCGATGAAAAAAAAACCCTTCAGACCAGCACTGTACGCGTTAAGTTGTTGCTCTACTGGAACAAAGTAAAACTGCTTCTCTTTAAATAATGTGCAGCGGAGTCAGACCTGCAGCAGTATATTTAGGGGATTTAAACTTTCACCGAGCTTTAGAATAAACTGTAAGACAAACAGTCTGCTAGACCTTGTTTCTGCTCACTTCAGCCCACCTCCTCCTTCAGCCGAGTACGGATAGCTGCTTTGACAGGTTAGCTGAACGCCTTCGGTGATCATCGCGAGACATCGCGAGAATACGCTTCTTGTAGCATATAACAGGGAGAGCAACAATGTTTGTTGAAATATAGCGCCAAATCACAACAGCGGTAACCTCGGTGCGCTTTATTTTGTAAGGTAGATCCTTCAATAATACAGAGAACACCCCCAACAATCAAGCAACACCCTGGAGCAATTAATTCATTGTAATTTTTTGTATTGAAGCAGCTATCTTCTATTTTTATTTTATTTTATTTTTTACATCCATCCAACTTCTATCTGATCAGGTAAGGTTAACTCAGAGGTTCCCAAAGTGTGGGGCCCGCCCCCTGGGGGGCGCAGTATGAAAAGGAAAAAAAAAACACTTGGACACTGCTAGCATAATGGACAGGCCTTTTGACGGGGCTCCCACACAAACGCAAAGCAGGAGATGAAGCATAGCCAAATATGTTTTCAAACAAACTTCCTTCTAAGCCAAAGACTAGAAAATATGGTGAAGCATATCTTCCCTTTGGCTTCACCTGCACAAGTGCCGAGGTAGGTCTCCCCTGCAGAATTAGTTTTCTCTGTCGGGAGCACGCACTGGGTTCTCCAAATCACGGACAAACAGTATCCCACATTCTTGATTTTTAGTTCACAAACACTTCTTGTAACGACTAACTACTCCTGACATGTTGGAGATGTTAGCTCTTTATATAATAAAGTTACAGTGGGATACAAATAATATCAGACTGATCCTGCTGTAATTTGTTCCCCCGGTTCAAATCACAGACAAACAGCATCCCATCCCACAGTTGTTCATGTTTTTAAACCCATTTTGGACAGAGAGGCATTTAAAAAAAATGTATTGATAGCAATGTTGAATATTATTACACAGGGAAAAAACAACTACACGTAAAATACTTACACCGTGACGCCTCTGCCTTTCTAAATGGAGGGACAGTAACTGCGTGTGTGTATGTAAGCATGTAAAAACTGCAGATAGTCAGATTAACAGTATTTGTCTCTATCTGCCATTCTGCAATTCATCTCATGTAAACAATAACGTGGCAACATGTTACCAATTTCAATGGAATTTGAAAACAAAATATGGGTGTG